GGATATAGATTTGATCTTCCCGTTAAGAGAAGAAATCTATGCAACTCGGAAAGTCAAGTACCAAGATGAAAAGCCTCTTGAAAGGGCTCCGATATATATCACAAGTGTTTGGTGAGTTTTTGTATTCTTCTCTCATTTGTTTTCATTTCAATATATATAGACTCTCATATGCTTGAATGTGAAACAATGAGACAATATAATGAAAATAGAGGAACAATAGAAAAAAAGCTCCCAAAATGTTGTGTTCCGTGTATGAATATGAACATCAAAATGTAGGTTTTTGATTATGTTTATAATTTGTTTTTTAAAAACGCAAAAGCAATAGAAGGTGAGAAGGAAGAAGAGATGCAAATCGGAAATCCAACGGACGTAAAACATGTTGCTCACATTGGTTGGGATGGACCCTCTGATAACAACACTGCACCTAGCTGGGTACTACTTTATACTCCAATGATCCTAATATCTATCTTTTGTTATAATATTTCAAAATTTGACATTGATTGTTATAAAAATCTTTGGAAGATGAACGATTTCAAGTGTTCTCCGGGGATGGAATCAACTCCGGGACTCGGAGAAGACGATTCCTCCGTGAAATGTCAATCGGAATATGGTGGTCGGTCTAAAGATTTACCAAAACTACCGAAATCTTCGAGGAAATCATCGTCGGAGAAAGGTTCTCCGACTAAAGAGAAATCCGATAAGACCAAACGTCGGTCTTCGAACAAAGCCACGGCTAGGAGATCAAAGGAGACTTCAGGACAGGAGGAAGATGCTTCTTGGTCTCAACACAGTGTTGGATCATCACCTGAGATTCCAAAGAGATCCAAGAGGAAGAAATCTAAAGAAGGTACTAATGGAGGTTCTTCAAGATCATCACGAACATCGGAATTTGATAAAATGTCTGATACTGGTTCCGTTAGATCTCTGTCTCAATTTGATGAAGACTGAGACATCTAAGACTCTGATCATAGACTTTGTAAGTTTTTGTAATAGTAAATTTATAGAGATTGTCAATTTGAAGACATCATTACTAGAAGAAACTAATTAATAATTACAACCAAAACAATTAAAACTATTTCACCTAATCAAAAAAAGGTCAAAAGCATATTAAATGTTGTTTTTTCTCTAATCTGTTCTTTGTTCTTCTTCCTCTTTTCACTGTTTTACTAAAATGTAAAGAACCACTAAAACCGCCGGGAAGCAAATCGACGTGAAAACCCTTGACGCCGACGAAGAGAGAGCTGGTCCGGCGAGAGGAGGATCGGAGATTTTAACGACGTGGAGATTTGGGTTCCCGCTCAATTTGAGCTTTTTCCCGATTCTGTCCCTGAAACTGTCGGAAAACGGAGATTTTCCGGTGAGATTGTTGTTTTCGAGGTTGATTTCGTTAGCGAATTCCAGAAACCCAAACTCCTCGGGGATTTGTCCGTCGAGATTGTTGTTGTCGAGCGCGAGATAACAGAGGTTTTTGGGAGTCGACCCCATTGAAGCTGGAATATTCCCTCGTAGACCCATTCTCGAGAACCCAATTCCAGAAATACCCTCCAGATTCTTCCAAATTTCCGGTATACGACCTCCGAGCTGATTTCCACTCAGATAAACCTCTCTCAATCTGGGCATCTCAGCTAGAAACAGAGGAACGCCATAGTTTCCGAAACGGTTGTAACTCAAATCCAAAAACTCGAGCTTTTTCAGTTTTCCAACTCCGGACGGTATCTCTCCGGAGAACCCATTGAAGCTGAGATCGAGCTTTAGAAGCTCCGTCAGATCGCCGATGGATTCAGGGGCATTTCCGTCAAGAAAATTATGGCTGAGGTCCAGAACTTTCAGATTCCTCAGACGGGACGACGCCGGAAAACCGCCGGTCAAGCTGTTTCTAGAGAGCGTGATCTCTTGTAGACTGACCAAATCGGAGATCCGACCCGGAATCGACCCATGAAATCCGTTTCCGGTGAGAACCAATCTCCTCAACTTTGTGAAATTACCGATCACGGCACTGACTTCGCCGACGAGAGACGGGTTTCCGATGAACACAAGTTCTTCGAGGACAGAGCCGAAACCCTCCGGGATAGCTTCTGGCAACGAGACACGAGCTCCGGTGAAGCATTTGTAGAAGAAGAGCTTGCGTAGGTGGTTGAAGGAAGTGAAGAGGAGAGGTTCGAGTGTAGAGTTTGAAGAGCAAGGAGGGTTTTGCGTGTAGTCAGAGACGTAGCCCAAGTGAAGCTCGGTGACGTGGACAGAAGTTACGACGCCGTTTTGAGAACGGACGGTGAAGAAATCGCATACGACGCCGTCTGGTGGGGAAGCGCAGAGATCGTCGGGGAAGATGGTTCGCCATGGGATCGCCGAGTTAACTGAGTCAAGGACTCGGTAGACCGCTTCTTGCTCCGACGAGTCTAGGGCGAGTTGAGGCGGCGCGTCTTCGTCGTCGTTTTGCTGGCTGGTGATAAATGTAGCAGTAAATAGAAAGAGGAGAAGAAGAAAAAGGTTAATACGAGAAGTCGCCATGAAAGCAGAGAAAGAGAAAAGAAAGCTTTTTCTTTTTGGGTTGGTTTGCAGCTTTTTTGTTTCGTTTTTGGGTTTGTTGCTAACGAGCGATACGTAGCTTTTTATGGGTACAAGCTTCGCAATGTCTCTTTCCCTAAATTACATAAATACCCCTACAAGATCAGATCACAGACATTAATGACGCTTTTTTACTCCTATATTTTTTTCTTGGTAAAGATATTTTTTTTCCTCCTATCCTATATAGCAAAGGTAAAAACAGAAAAAAGAATTAAATTTTGCCATCATTTTCTAATTTGTTTACTACCTTATTAATCTGCATCAATGTATCATATACACTTTCTAATTTCGAATCGTGGTGAAGAACAAGGGAGGGGTAGGATGGTAATAAAGAGGGAAGGGTACTATAAGGTTCACGTTCCGTGGGTAAAAAACCTAAAAAGTGAAGTTAAAAAAGCATGAGCGGAGATTGTCGGGACCATACCGGACGAAAATTGCAGAGTGAAAGACGACACCGTTTCGATTTTTAGGCACATTGACCAGAACCTCCCTCTTACTTTCAAAGATGCCACTTGTTTTATAAAATCACTAGTGTTTTTTTTTTATTTTCTCAACATCTATATCATTAATCCGAGATTCAGATGGTTTTTTCATAGAGGCAGGCTACAGCATAGGCAAGATTTGCTCTTCGGTACTTGAGGCAGAATGTCAAGCACTTCTAATGGCGATACAACAGGTTTGGATTCGTGGCTATCGTTTTGTTATCTTTGAAGGAGACAATAAAGAAGTGACAAAGCTACTCACAGAGAAAAGTTTGAACTTTGGTGTTCATAATTGGGTTCGTGACATCAATCATTGGAGATTAAAATTTGATCAATCTCAATTTCGATGGACCTCCCGTACAAATAACAAAGCTGCTGATCGACTCTCCAAAGAACCTTTTCCTCCAAGCACAACTTTTGTTTCAATGTTTTATATTCCTGAATTCCTTGTAAACATCCTCCATGAGGATCATACTCATTATTTCTCAATTTAATATAAAGGAAAGACTTAAAAAAAAAAATGTTTTACACAAGTTCTTTTTCCACATCTTGTTTTATCCAAATTGGCACCATAGAGTAGAGATTAGGGACATAAGTCTCATGAGACATAGCCTCATTTGCAATCATATCTCCCACCCGATTACAATCTCTATTGTTGAAAACAACCTTAGCCTCAATAAAGAGATGGAGCATATGAGTTATGTCCTGAAGAGTAGGACTGAGACCTAGCCACTCTTGCTGGTTATGCAGTGCCTTTACCAGATTATATGAATCAGTTTCGAATGTAACACTGTCGTAACCTAGAGAATGCACC